TTGCCGGTGGTTACGAACGGGTGAACTGGGAGTCTGGGTTCGGGAACAGCAAGAGCGCCGTGGTCGCCTAACACAAGGACACCGTCCTTTAAAAACTTTTTTTATTGATTGATTTCAGAGAGGAAGGGAGAGGAAGAGAGAGAGAAGCAACATGAGGAGACAGAATCCTGGATCGGCTGCCTCCTGCATGCCTCCTACTGGGATGGAGCCTGCAACCTGGGCCTGTGCCCTGACCGGGAATCGAACCCTGACCTCCTCCTGGTTCATAGGTCAAAGCTCAACCACTGAGCCATGCCAGCCAGGCCGTTTCTAGAACATTCTTGAAGTGAGTCACAGAGATGGTGAACAGATGGGTACCTGGACCTGGTGCTCACACAAATAGGAATGCGTGGTAAGATGGCACAGAGCTGGGCGTACGTGTGCGCACACGTGCACACACCCGTATGGCAGTACACAGTGGCTGCACGTGCGTAGCAGCTGGCAGGAGCCTGAGCTGCGCCGAGGTGGATCGCCTGCCTGCTGCGTGTGGCGGGCTCTGGTCTCTGGTTCCGGGTTCCTGTGAGTCTGTTTCCAGATAAAGGTTAAGGAGCCAGCCCTGCGCTCTGTGAGCACGGCCCCTGCGCTGTCCCCACCGTCGCCCACAGGGAGCCGCCCTGATGGCTGCTCGCCCCGCGTCCTGGCCCCCGACTAAACGTTGGTTTTGCAATGCCTGTGTCCCTGAGACTCCCTCACGGACCAGGCGCTGCCCGTGTTCACGCTCACCGCCCGCAATTGTCTCCCCAGGCTCACCCGGTGGATTCACTCCTGGGGGCTTCGGCCCCAAAGCAGCCCCCCCTCCCAAGGGCGGCAGCTCCTGGCAGACAAGTCGGCCTATGACCCAGGGCGCCCCACGGGCCCCCCAGACCAAGCCACCCCCCAAAACCTGTGCACAGCCAAGGCCTAACTACGTGAGCTTCAGCGTTATCGGTGGCCGAGAGGAGCGGGGTGTCCGCGTCCCCAGCTTTGGTGAGTCCTCTTCCCTCCGTGTGGACTTTCTCCCGGGAAAGCTCTGGGCCCAGAGCCCTCACCGTAGGAGCCACACCTGGTGGGGGCGCGGTTCCGATGGTGCCTGTGGTGTCCCCGTCGCGGCCCAGGTGGCCAGGCCCATGCTGCCGGGAACTGGCCTGGCTGCAGTGTCATCCCTGGGATGGCATAGCCACGTCAGCCCTAGGCGGTGGGTGACCTTTGCCCCCGGGGAGCCCTGTGGGTGCTTCCCACACGAGGTCCAGTGGGCAGAGGGTCAGCAGCCATGTCCACCCTGTTCCAGCTCAGAAGCCGCGGGTGTCGGAGAACCACTTTGAAGACCTGCTGTCGAACCAGGGCTTCTCCTCCAAGGCCGACAGGAAGGGGCCGAGGACCATCGCCGAGATGAGGAGGCAGGACCAGGCGAGGGACACGGACCCGCTCAAGCTGAAGGTGGGCAGCGGCAGAACGGCCCGGGTCGCCCAGGGCGTCCCCGTGTGGCCCTGGTCCTGGTGCTGAGGTTCCCCGGGGCCACGCTCACCTGCCTTCGCTGCGTGGCAGCAGCTGCCGGGCCAGCTGCACGTTGGGAGGGTTGGGGGCGTCTCCCGCCCGGGCTCCTGGCCTCGTAGAGTTCGCAGTGGATGCGGAGCGGCCACGCAGCCCCCCCCACCCCCTAGCGGCTCGGCTCGAGCAGCGTCAGGCTGAAGGCGGAGGCTCTGTGCTCCGTATGGGGTCTGGCTCCTCAGGAATTCTAGCCGCACTAACCCCAGCCCGCAGGGCGATGTGCCTGAGGCCCCCTGGGGGAGGCGCCTGCCCTGTGCACTCCAGCCTCTGCTGGGCGCCTCAGCCAGGTGTCTTCACTGCAGGTGGGTGGAGATGGGGTGCGGGCCACTGACAGGCCACCGGGTCCTGGCCTGTCGTCCTGCTGGGCCCTGGGGCTCCAGGACAGGCTGTGCGGCCACAGGGGCGAGGCTGGCCATGAATTCCACGCTGTCGTGTCCTGTGTGGGGTCCGGCCAGGCCTGGGAGTGGTGCTGACCGTGCCTGGTAGGGTCAGCACAGGAAGTGGGACAGGGCCTGTTCTTGTGGCGTTGGAGGCTTGCTTGGGATGGACACGTGCGGAGTGTTGCGATGCTGGCCCACACGGGGCTGGGCCAGGACTCCTGCCTGTAGCTCCACGTTTCCCCCAGCTCCTGGACTGGACCGAGGGCAAGGAGAGGAACATCCGCGCCCTGCTGTCCACACTACACACCGTGCTGTGGGACGGCGAGAGCCGCTGGACGCCCGTGGGCATGGCTGACCTGGTGACGCCTGAGCAGGTGAAGAAGCAGTACCGCCGGGCCGTGCTGGTGGTGCACCCTGACAAGGTGAGTGCGGGCGGGTCCACTGGGGAGGTGAGTGCCCACTGGGAGGTGAGTGCCCACTGGGGAGGGGAGTGCCCACTGGGAGGTGAGAGCCCACTGGGGAGGGGGGTGCCCACTGGGAGGGGAGTGC